AAGGACACAAGGCATGCGGGTCGGACAGCAGGGACATAAGCACATACATAAATGGCAAAAGTCCGAGAATATTCCAAAAATCTCATACAAATTACGAAAATCAAAAGACAAGCGGAGAAATCACGAAGCGCGGAGACACGAAAATGATATTTCTACGCGCCGAATTCCGAATGATCGCATTCTGCTGATCGCAGATCGGCGATCGCCAAGTTGCCTCGCTGGGGAATTTGACGAACACGAAATGCGAAATGAGAAATTCGAATCTCGAATCTCTGGCCGCTGATCGCCTCCCGCTGACGATGATAATTAATAACAGGGGCCCGGCAAAAGCAAAATCAAAAGCAAAAGCCCAGCAAAGAGCATAAAAACGCTACCAAACACCCAATCGTACGGCCAGAAAAAAACCCAGAGTCTTGGCCAATGGAAATGGTAATGTCTCGGAGCGAAGCGAAGCTCCTCCCGATAAGCAAAAAAGAAGACAGACATAAACCAGTCGGACATAATCTCAGACGGTGGGGAATGTCAATGTGTAGCTGCACTTGAAGGAAAATATGTGTCTACTGAAGGGTATTACAAATTAAAACCGAAAAACCAAAAAAAATATTCTTTTAAAAATTTAGATCTATTTTGATATTTATTTATTTTTTTTTTTTTTTTTTACTTTATTTTCTGTAGTGTATAATGTCCGATTAAGATCCCAGAAAACAGATCTCCGATCAGTGTTCGCTGCTCAAGTGATCAACACTTACACTTGCTTACGTGTCTGCTGGCTAAGCAAACTGACAGCGAACATGACAAGAACAAGGTCTTTGACAAGAGTCCCCAGATAGAGGAGCTTATCCACAGATGCTGCCCGAAAATTCCCACCGAACAGGCATTTTCAACTCATTCTCACCAGCGATCAGCTCGATCCACTCGATCCCTATCCCTAACCCATCCGCAAGTTGATCAGTTGATCAGTCATTCCCATCACGCAGCACTCGGGAAAAAACAATTAATGCCTGGCAGGAGGAATCAAATGATATTTGGCCAAGGACAAGACAGCGCCATGGTGCCAGGCGCAACCACGATTTATAGCCCGGGTGGAATGTGCCATACATCAGTCGCAGCCAGGATCAGAGGAGCAAAAACAATTTAGCCTGCAAGGAGGCAGGAGTATCTGCTGTCGATGATTAAAACACATTAAAAATCCAGTAGCCCCGGTAGCTGGGAAAGGGAAAGGGGTTTTTCAGTTTTTCAGTTTTTGGTCGCCTTTCTCGCTGGCTGGTGGAGCCCAAACTAATTTCATATTTTTCATGCAATTGATGAAATTCCATCAAGCCCCCGAAAAAGAGACTCCTTTCTTGGGCAGCAGCCCCATCCATCCCCATCTCCGATTTGTATCTGTATCTGTGTCGCAATCAGAATCCCCAACTGTCCGTCCATCTGTCCGTCCGTCCGTCCGTCCGTTCGCTTGATGTTCGGGGACTACCTGTTGCGACGTGTTATTAGGCGACGTATTGACGACAAGCAAACGTCAACCCGAAACGTCAGCTCATCATATCATCGATTGATGCGCATCGCATCGCCCTTCTCCTACCTACCAATCCACCCTTTTTTGGAGGCCCTCTGCATATTTTCGGGACTGAAACAGAAGCTCTCTGCTTGTTCTGGAATTTCAAGAGGGTAAAATAAAAAAAAACACGTCCAATGTTGGGCCTCTAATTTTGTGCACATCCGAGAGTTGCTGTAGTAGTGGTACCCCCTTCGTCAAGGTGGTGATATTTGTTAGTGTAAACTGTCCATCAGCCGATGGGCCGTTCTTGTTCTTCGCCAGCGGACCGAAGTGATTTTGCGCTTTAATGAGGATTATTAAATGCGAGATTATTATGTGCTGCAATTACTTTCCGCTGCCACTGTGCTCGGGGTTTCTTTTCCTTCAGTTTCTTCTTTTTTCGCTCCAGCATCGGCCGCCTCATATTCGGGTTTTTTCCCCCTCTTTGATTTATTTTATTGAACCATAAAAATGTAAATTTTCGCGAGACAAAAGACAAAGTTAATCGTTGTCAATTATGGCCTTTGACAGGTTAATATTAAAACGTTCGGCTTGATGGGTGGAAAGGAATGGGGCGAATATTCAGCTTGATTGGTAGCATTCAGCGAGGATGATCGGCTGGAAGATCAGGAGCGAACCGGGTTGATTAATGCCTTCGGATGGCCATTAATAAGCGGATGGAGAACGGCGGTGGTGTGATCGAGCAGGGATTACTTGGGGCTGCTTTTGGCATGATATATGTGTGCCTATCATAGAGCCAAGACCTCATAAGGAGTGTACAGATTTCTTTGCCAAGTATGATGACTCATTCAGTGCGTTCAATTGCTCCAGAGGATCAGCAACTCGTGGCATTCTTCTTCGATCAGCCCTAATGCCAGGCATTTGGTGGGCAGCCCTTGAAATGTTTGATTATTTCGCAATTTGAGCCCGCTGGCACTGCAGTTTCCGGCAGAGGCGAGCGCCGTCCTCCCCCTCGGGCGGGATGCGGAAACAGGAATCCGGGGGGCAGCACCTCTATTAACATAATCACAACACGAGTCGGTCGTCCGTCGATCCCAACCGAAAATTACGGCAAGTGCAAGCGCGAAGAATATACAGATGCCACATATACATGCATATATCGTATGTATCCTGGGATGTGCCGCTTGGGTAGATCAATTTTTCGGGAACCCAAATCACTGCAGGGCGATCAATTAAAATTTTGATCGAATTTTCGTCAATTTCTTGACATGTGGCCAGGAACAGAAGCCGCGTAGCAAGTCCGCAAAAGAGTGAAAAGTAAAAAGAGGACGGGCAGAGGGACTGAGACAAGACGAGATCAATGTAAGCTGAAATTGTCGGCCGGAGGCCTTAGGCGAAAATTGCTCTGTCTGCGGGTTCCTTTCCATATTCCGCTGCACAGGGAGAAAATCTTATATTTCACGTCTTTTGTTACATTCTAAAAAAAACTTGACTAGAAACGCTGATCGATTTCTTCTTATGATATGCGTGCACCTCAATTCAATATGCTCGAAATGTAAACAAGTCAGAGAATATGCGCATGCAATACTAGAAAATTACCATGCGCATATCGATTTTACCAAGACGTGCTATTTCGTGTGTAGAGCTATTTTATGTTTTTAAAATGTTATATAGATATTTTGAAAGACATCTTTTGTATATATTTTTTTCTGTGCATACCCCACTTCCTCTTCTTCGCTGGCTGCCGCTGCATAGTGAATGAAATTGATTAAAGCGTAAATGAATTTTTGCGGGCCTAAATCGCCGCTGATGGCCAAGAGGAAGAGGTGGGGAGCTGGCGATGATTATAACACAAGATCGATTGCTGCTTGTCGCTGATCGCTAACTCGATGCGGCTACTGTGGAAAGCAGAGACGCCGCTGCAGCTTCAGTTTTAGCCCCAGCTTCACGATGGTCCCAAACCCAAACGCAAACCCCTCTGCTCTCATTAAGTTTCCGAACATGTTTTCGAAAAGGATCTCCTTGGGCAGCGGCTGCCGCTGTTTTTATGCCCTCATTTGACAAACTAGCCAGGGGCGACGATCGACCTGGCCGGGATCAAAATCTCGATGCCTCGGCATCGATTTAAGTTTATCCGCACGATCAGCGCCAAAAAGCCGAAATGCCAATGCCATAATTTTTTGCCAATCCGCACGCACGGGAATGGGAATGGGTATGGGATCAGGGAAAAAACAAACGACGGGATGGAATCCCTGAGCCTTAGAAGCTGATGGAATTCCATGCGTGCCCAGCCAGCATAAACGGTAAAAACGGTAGCCACAGCGAGACGCTATAATTATTGGGGTCGAATCGGGATGGCTAGTGGGAAAATAATGGCTCCTAAGCAGACAGATGAGTTCGGTTCGCCGATGAGCTAGAACTAGTTCAAATGGTGTTATAAAATGTTCAAAAACACGATCTCAAATAAGATGTGATAGAGATAAACTGTTTATTTGGAGAAATAAAAGGAATATTATTACTAGACAACGGATTATATGCAAAAAGTATTCTAAACCTTCGATTCCTAGCGATTTTTGATTAAAGATAAATTGTACTTAAAAATTTGAAATTATTTTTTGAATTTGGATTTTAAGAAAAATAATTTCATCTTTACTAAGTCCGCTTGAACTCGAGTGTTATTAATACTATTTTACTAAAAAGTAGTATTTAATGATAATTATTTTAAATCTGTTATTCCATAAAATGTTGAGGATTCTTAGAACCTTAAATAATTCAGAAAATCTTATCTTACTCTCCAAACTAAGTTCCACAACCGACGGATAGCAATGACAAAATTAATTTATTTTTCTGGATTAGTATATCAGTTTCTTTCAAACTATTTCAATCAAACATATCCGATCAACTCGGAATTCGGTCACCACATCGCAAGGGCAGAGTGCCATCGCTGATTTCGCTGGGGACCAAGTCTTTGGGTCCGATTCCATCATCAATTGCCGCTTTGTGGGGGCTTCGGCTTCGACTTGGAGTTGGACTTGGTCTTGGGTGCGAGGCATTGTGAAAGAGCTTTCTGCTCTTTAATGGACTGGAGACGAGAGCCACATTAATTTAGTTACGCTTCGACAACGATCTCGAGTCGGAGATCTGCGCATCATTAAAGACAATTTCGTGATTCGCCACGATTTGTGCAGCAAATTACTTGCTAAATTATAGAAAGCAAACACTGCCCCTCTGCAGAGGCGGAGGCCTTTGCTCACAAATCAATAGAAATCAACGCCTGTCAGGGCTGAGACGATTCTCATGGCCATTGTTGACTTAATCAATAAAGCGAATTTGGGTTGTTTTCTATTTCGAGTGCGATCGAATCGAATCGAATCGAATGAAGTCGAATAGAGTGGAATGGAAGTGGAAGTGGAAATTTCACCGGATCATTTAGCCAAGCAAACAAGCGACAAATGGAAAATCTCGGCCCAAGTAACTCATTGTCTTTTTTCCCTCTTTTTTTCAGAGTCAGGCCTTGGCCTTAACCAGAGCTGCCAACGCGGCCGCCGTTGTGGCCGCGGCCAATGCCAAATCGCCGAACGCCTCCTCCGCCTCAGCCAGCCTGGCGGATCTGGCCGTCAAGAAGGAGCACTCACTGTCGCCGCCCCACAATGTGGTGCCCATAGTGGGAGTGCCCGGTGAGGATCAGATCCGCCGATCCTCGTTGCAGGGCGTGCAGGAGAAGCTCACCCAGCTGCAGATGCAGCAGCAACACCACCAGCAGCAACAGCAGCAGCAGCAACATCATCACCATCAGCAACATCAGCAGCAGTCGCAGCAGGCGGCTGGCGGAGTGGGTGGTGGCGAGGTGGCTGGGCGCAGGTCCTCTGAGGGCACCCCACCCACATCCTCCCATCCGCCGCCGAACGCCGAGGGACTGGCGCATTCCTCCTCCACAGCCTCATCTAGTCAGAATGCCACGCCCAAGAGCGATCGGGAAAGGGAGCGGGAGAGGGAGCGGGATAGAGAGGAGCGCGTGGAGCGGGGCAGCATATCCTGCCTCCCACCGGCCGCCCTTGGAATGCCGCAGCAGGCCGAGAAGCTCCTCAGCCATCCGGCCCTGGAATCGCGTCGCGAGTTCGACGTCAGCAAAGTGAATCGTGAGTAAAGGAAGCTTTCATTTTGTATTTGTGATGTAAAAGTTGGGCACTCATTCTGTACAATCCTGAGTTGAATGCATTGCATAGTGGTACCTATTCGTTTTTTGGGGTCAGTGAGTCACTAATAGTGACTTCCTTGCAGTTCAAATTGAATGTGACAGGATGCATTTTCCGTTTTTTTCGGTTTTGATATCCAATTAAAAGTTTATTGTTTAAAAATTTTCAACTTGAGTTAGCTTTTTTTGCTAGTATTGGCGACATATGGGTCAACAATAGGGCTCCCTAACACCCTTTTTAATTCTTCTCAATTTTCCGTCACTATTGCTTTCGTTATTGTGTTCGAGTATTCACAGCAGCTTCATTTTATTTAGACAGTGCGACTTCACAAAGCGTTCAAGTTCTAGGCTAAAAAAAAAAAACCATTGCCATTGTTTTCCATTTTTTTAAATTTTTTGATTTAGAATAGCTGGTACTAAAGAAAAAAAGCAGAGAAACAGTTTAAAAACAGTTGAGATGAAAGTATCGTAGAAATGCATGAACAATTTCACAAATTAGTTTTTATAAAAGGTAAAAATGTTTTTTGACAGAAAAAATATTCAAAATATATTTTATTCAAAGGGTAAAAAATGGTTCTATCTAAGATTCCTGTGCATTAAGAGCCTTTTGTTTAAGTTTTAGTAATTTTTGCAGATTATTTTTTACTTTGGTTCCTTTTAAAGCATCATTGATAGTTGGGGAAATTTAAGAATTGAGAACATGATTTTTCAAAAAAGTATGTTTATTAAAGCTTGATTGATAGGCTTAAATAATTTAAATATTAATTGAAATGATTCGTAATCAATAATAACCAAGAGAAGGAGTAAGGCAAATAATATTTCTCAATACTATTCATAATCTAGTGCGTGATTATGCGTGTAATTAAAGGGAAGCAAACTAGAGGGGGTAAATTCTCCGGCCACTTTAAAGACACAACTTTAATCAGGCGGCCAGCTGCTGATGGTATTTCCTCTGCCCCAACTAATCCATGAAAAGTTCATTTGATTTGCTCACAAGGCATTAAGCACGTATCCCACAGAAACCCAGAGGAGCACAGAGACAGAGTGAAGCACACACACGCACTCACTGAGTGCGTTCCTTGAGCAATGGCCATGGTAATCTTGTTTGGTTCATCAATAGTTTAGCCATGGCCAGAAGTAAACCTGTGCCACCTTGTTGCGGATGCATACACCGAGTATCTGCCGGATATAAATGGAAACTGTGAAGCCTTTTGCATACCAACGATATCAGTTCACTTCCTTCACTCCATTCAGCCGGAGATACAGATACAGAAACAGACACAGAAACAGCACACAACACTCGTATATGGATCGAAATCCCCTGGATTAAGCATATGAAGCATTCATAACGTTTATTTTGTGTACGGATGTGTAGCTAGCCGTATGTCTATGGAATGTCTGTGTGTGCGAGCAAACATTCGCTTCTGGCTTAGAAAGTGGGTGGTGGTGGGAAGGCGGGGTGGCTGTCATTTGAGCACCCACTTGTGGAGTGTGGAGTGACTGCCACACCCCCGAGGAGGAAGCGTGCCTTGCTTTTGTTTGCCCTGGCTTCAGTCGCTCGTCTCTTGGGCTCTCGCTGCGTATACGCAATCTGGCAGGATGTGGGAGCTCCGAGCTTCGAGCATCGAGCACGTGTGCGATGGCTCAACAGGTGGCTGGTGGCAAATAGCTGTGGATGTGTCAGGGCCAATTTGTGGCTTCGCCTGCGCAAATAGTTGGCCAAACAATTGACTTGAGCGTTAAATATGGGTGTTAATATTTTTGAGTTACCAAATACTTTAAGCTATCTTTTCCAAAAACGATAGTGTGCCAAAAACTTAAACCAACTGAAACACAGAGGGGATTTGATTTGAATTTTGTTGCTGTGAATTTGTGAATCTGTATCGTGTATCGTGTGTATGTGTGTAATGTGCTTTGTAGCATATTTTGAGGATTTGCACAACAAAACGTGGCAGGAGTTGGAAATCGGATCTCCACTGGATGCCGGATCCTAGGATGGAGCTCAGTGCTGTTTGGTTTGCTTATTGTTGCCGTCATTTGGCATTGTTATTGCTGTTCTTGTTATTATTGTCATTTAACATTGCCATTTCCAACAATTCGAACAGCTGCCGTGTGGGTTCATATGTAAATCTGTTTTGTTTCGATGCGTTTTGTTGTGCATATTTCGGGGGTGTGTGTGTGTGGGGGTGTGCGTGTGTTTATTGCGCCTAAGCTGCTCAGCGACGCAACACGATATTTATCCTGCCGCACCACCCAACTGCAACCCACCCACCCACTGACTCGCCAGCTGGGCTTTTTCATTTGGGGCTATTTTTATGTTCCTGTTTTTGCGATTCTGATTCTGATTCCGTCTCTGCTGCGCTTCGATTTATGCAGAGTTTAGTATGCAACATTTTCATACGTTAGCCTTAATAAATCCCCAGCCGGCTGCACTTGTCAATATGCCGACTGTCCTGCCCCCTGCCCTCCCCCTTTTGGTCCTGCAGATGCCACACTGTTGGCACCTATAAGCCTATGCAAAAACACACACACACACAGGCGGCGCGTTCTGCAATTGAAAATCACTGCGCCTTAGTTAACGACACGTTTGTGGATCAACGCGTTCGGGAAAACGAAACAGGCAGCCCCATCCTCCACCCACTTGACCCTGCTGTTGAATCATTGTTACCACCAAAAGTGGAGCAGCAGCGGCATCGGTGGCAGCTGCATCCGCATGTGTCATAAGCCAGGCGGCGGCACCATGCACACAGGACATAAGCACGCGCTCAAGGATTCAAAAAATGGGCACCCATTCGATCGGCTATTATGCAGATGTCATGATGCGGGCGGGATTGTATAATGAGATGGAGGCGGCTAGAAAGACTGGCCGAAAGAACCCCCGATAAGCCCTGATGGACGCACAAGTGTCGGCAAAGCTGGGCAGTAAGTTCTCCCCACTGGTAATCAGGCGACACAAAAGCATTGCACAGCTCCTGCTGCCGGATAAGAGATACTCAACGAGAGAGATGGAGTTTCGCAATCACACGCAAAACTAGCTCCGACTCAACTGAAGCACCTAACTCCTCCTCACCTGTGAGGGAAGTGGCTAAGTCCTGGGCCGATGGATCCGCTGGGGCGACAGGTGGGTGGGGTGGGGTTGAATGGGGTGAGGTGGGCTGAGCGGCAGCAGCTTAAGTGTTAAGCGTTATGCACAGTGGCCAGTGCAGAGCTGAATGATACCACTCACCTAAGCCGGTTCCCAAAACCCACTCTTCATTGCCCCACCACCCCATCCAAAACCCAATCCCAAAGCTCCATATGTGCTCTACTGCATAGAGACTAGATGCAGATGCGGATACAGATACAGATACAGCCTCAGATTGAGATACAAATTCGAATAAATGCCAAAAGCAACAGGAGGCCACATTTCCGAATTATAAGCAAAAAGGGATTGGCCCGTCCAGAAGCAGGAACAACAACAACAGTCGCAGGATAAAAGCCCGGTTGTTGCCAACCAGCCACACACACAAACACTAACACACATATATATGTCGGAATACATTTAGCCAGGACATCGCCAGGAGCTAAAGGCAGGTGCTGCAGGTGATGCTGATTGAGTTAAGCCACCATCATCGAGTGCACTGAAAAATGTAGAAGACCAACCCTAAACGATAGTCGCCATAAGAAGGAAAATCTTTAAATTTTTTTTAAAAATATCGGAAATTTCTAATTTAATTGTCATTATTTAAAATATTTATTTATTAAAACAAACCCTATTTTTTTATCATCAATTTTTCAACGTGCATCTGCGACACAAGATGCTCCTCCTGGTGCCTCCAGCTCCAGTTAGTCCCTTTATCCCTCACACAAAGAGAACTACAAATTTTAAGGATTTAAATGCTGGGCGAGGTGAACGAATCGAACTTTCGGAGCTGCCACAACGAGAGATGAGCCGGAGAAAGCATCCTGCCCCTCCTCCGCCCACTCGGCAAATCGTGCCACTTCCACCTTGCAACCTAAAGCTCGATTCGAGCGGCTTAGGGCTCCAGCTCCCAGTGCGTTTTCGGTTTATAATCGAATAAATACTCCCTCTGTGTGTGCCGTGCGATTATCAAAACAGAAGCACATACCATATACATATGGCTGCAACAGAGGAACTGCAACTATAAATCACTTGCATTAACTTTGAGCGCTTTTGTGCGAGTAAATATATGTGGGAGCATAGAGTATATCTATTAATACTCGAGTGGAATTATGCCGGCAGCACATTTGTAATTAGACAAGGACTTGGCTCTGCCAAAGGGGTTCGATTATGAATATTATAAGACTCGGTAATTTTACGTTTTGCCAACAACAGCTGCAGCTGGGATTTGCCATAAGCTCCCCCTCACAGGGTCTAAAGGACACACTTTCTTGGGACTCTCTACAGGCATCTTATTAAACTCCAAACAAAAGCCAGAGTGCCAATTAATGCTGCTGCTAAACCGTTTATTTCCTGTCACTTCATATTGAATTTTCCCCAACTAGCCGGCACATTCAATATTCCACTTTAACTCTATATTTTCACATACGCACACATAAAGGGTATTAGCGGAATTAGGAAAATCACCAGGCGAGGAGAGAGAGCAACTAATGCGAATGCAACTGGGCGTTTCATAATCCACAAGCGAAAACAAAATCATCATCATCATGGAGGAGAGAAGAGGGTATGAGAAGGACCACCCAAGGACATTAAGCAAAAGCATCAAGTTTGCGACTTATCCTGCGACCTAAGCCTCCTGAACCCGGTGAACATTCAGCTCAGAAAAAGGGTAGAAGCAGCCCTCTTGCCTCTCTTTCTACCCCTTGTATAGCGCTCTCTCTCTCCCTTTCGACTGCCTGCTTTGCATGCGAATTTGGCGCCAAAAACTTTCGAGTTCCAGCCCGAGTTGCTCGAGCCGAGGGCACGACATTATTTGGGAATCC